GTTTAAAGACCACCGCCTGAACAACATAAATGTGAATTATGAATGCTATTAGTGTGAGGTTTGCTAACAGTAATATTTCGGTTTGCACCTAACTGACTTTTTGCCTCCCATTCAAATCCAATTGGTCGTCTCCCAATAAACACCACCACCGCTCCTTTGCATTGCACCAAAGTGCACAAACAGCCGATGTGCTACCGGCAAGTTTACTAAATTAAAAACGTCATAGTTCCAAATCAACGACAGAACGTAGCGAAAAAGGGCCCCAGCTACTGACGATGCATCTCATTACGATGCAGTGCACCCAAATTGAGTGCCGTAAACTTTTTCTTATGCGCCAGTATACATATCAATGTAAAAAATACTCACGTTGTCCGAGAACTGGAACGTTAAAAAGTATATATGAAATTGAGGTAATAACTGGAGGGGTGGAGTTGTGTGGCAACAGACCCCTAAGCGGAACTCGTTTGGCTGGAGGTTTTAGGAAAAATAATAGGCCAACTATGGACAATGGATGAAGAAAATCTGACGCATACAATCTAAGCTGGGAAGCTTTCTCTATTGGAGTCGGTATCGAGCATAAAACTTGTCCTTATTTAAATATATAGAAATACAAATATATATATATATATATGACATCAGCACATACGTGTGTATATCTATTCATTTCTGTCTTGAACAAGCGGATGGTACCAAGATTACTCTGTCAGCTACATCATGACACTGAGATGCAGCTCGTGTCTCCTGGAGTTAACTTTATTCGGTGATCTTATTTTTGCACATATTATCGCTCTTTGTCTTCTTTTCGGCATCAGCGATCCCAAATCGACCAACTGAAATTTTAGTAAACTAGCACGTTTTACCAAACCACTACCTGGTATAAATTACTCTTTCCGGTTGATCGGATAGAGGATCAGCATCAAGGTACTCGGTTTTGTATATCTTGTTGCAAACACAGCCGTTTGTGCTTCTATAAAATTACATACTTTGTATAGTGTGTAAAACTGTGTCCAGTTTGCAAATTTCTTATCGGAACTACCGGACACTTGTTTCACGCTTTTGGCGAAGCTGTATGAATTCATCAAATTTTTAATTCAATTATTATTTACGTAGTTGTGCTATATACATTAGTTTTATTCTGATGAGCACCAGCTAGTCAAAGTTGATTTCCCGGATCCAAATCTTGAAACAACACAAGCTCCCATGGCAAGAAACCGTTTGCAAAAACAAATAAATGATAAGATGTTTTAACCAAGAGTAGTTCGCGGTATCCCATAGGACAGATAGCCTTTTGCACTTGCAGAAAAGCATTAGCCGGCCATGTTTTAATATCAGGAGTCCTGAATAGTGTTCACTAACCGGATCTATCAGGAACCGAACACAGCCTCTCAGCACCAGAGATTTGTGTCACTAGCAAGCAGCTAATGCCCATAAATTACGCGTGACAGCAGTGGATGGTCATACTTTACAAAGTGACAGCGATATAGTGCTGCTTCTTTCCTACGGCTATGCAATTTGCGAATATGTATCTCAACACGATAAGGGAATCAAACCTACCGAATAAATGCTAACTTGTACCGCGAACATTATGGTGACAAATACTACTCACAAACATTTAACACATTTAAACGTTCTAATGGGGTTGCGAATTATTCTTCGGCTGCCACTCATATGTAAATTCACAGTGATTGCATCTGTAATGAGCGCAGTTTACTATGGCGCAACTCTGGAAATCTCATAACCGGCCATGTTCATAAGAACCTAATTATCTACTTTTGATGCGTATTTCAGTTGCTGATAACGGAAGGTTTGTTTTCCGAACAACGCACTCCAAAAGCTATCACCAAAAGATGTCCAAGATGAACTGGGGTCCCAATGGCATCTAGAAACTCTACCTGTTGTGCATCCGCAGCTCGCTGATCAGTTTCACCTACTGTTTCGCTGTATCACTCTGGCTGTCGTCAGACTTATGAATTTAGACCTAATTCACCTCAGCTCGTTGGAAGCACATTCCAGTTAGCCAGATGGTTTACGTTAAGTATGGGCGATCGGCGTCAACTATTAGAATGTACGTGCAGAAAGTCTGTGTAACAGCGGAAGCATATCAGTAGTTACACAGCTGAACCTCCTGAGCAGCATTGATGTTCAATACGCAGGTGTCCCTCCTTCGGGTAACACCATCCTCCTCTTGTCTACTCTCGGTAACCGTTGCACAAATGTAGTATGTTTTTTCTAAACTATTTCCAGCTATTCTTCCCTCATTTCTCGACTAGACCCGGTAATGGAAATCGGTGGTGAACTTAGTTTAGTATGTGTCTTAGCTAGTGTTCACACCAAAGAACAACATGAATTTTCCTCATTTCAAGACGCATGCAGTAACCCCGCGTGATTAGATTTTCTCATAACGTCTGTTCTGGAGATCTTTCTGACGCTGATACTAGCCGAGTGTAGTGCATTGCGAACACGGATGACTCAGACCAAGTTTGCGCCACTTGCCCTCAATAGACGGAGACAGGATGGTTGCGAATTGAATTCACCATAATGTGAAGCAAGCCGAGCGCTTAACGTCTAGGCTCCGAAATCGCAGCTGGCAAAGATTGTGACGGCAGTTAATGAATCACTATGGAGCCAACATCACGTAGATGAACTGCAACACGCAACATCGGGGAGCTCTTCAGCCAAACCCGTACCTAAGTGCCACAGTACCAAGTAGCACAAGGTTCAAGCTAACTGAGATGTAGCTTGAAAGCGGTGGCGATCTTCCACCAACCCTCGTGGGTCAGTGGCGTAAGCTGCTGGGTAGTTGGCGCATGGTGCTAACAGTCATAGCTTTTGTTCCATTACAGAGCACCGGAGAAATGTACACAAAAGAACTTCTGCTGCATTTTTTGACTGGCGGCTATAATACCGCGCTTTTGAGCTGCAAGGACGAAACGGTGAAGAAATTTCCATTTACATTCCTATTCATCAGTAATCAAATCATTCGCCCTCACAGTTTTCAAGTGCCATGTCGTACATAGATAAACTACTGTGGAACGCACGAGGTCCGGAGGCCAACCACTGTCCTTCGCTAGGTCGGTCAACTACGTGACATTGAAAGATAGGTTGCGCTATATCCCACTTAGCTTGCAACCACTGATAGTCTACCACTGTCCTCCGTGGCTCGGTTACGTAAGCTGCTGGCTAGTTGTCGCAAGCTGCTATCAGTCAGTAGTACGGTTCCTTTGCAGGAGATCGATTAAATGGACGTTATTGACAAGTCCCAGTCGGGGGCTTTTTCGGAGTGGTGGGCAGATTAACGGAGTTGTGAGCTGCTGGGACAAACCAATAAAAATCCGTATTGTGTCACCGAACGTCATTAGAAGCGTTACCTTCTTAACGCGGTTGTGTAAAAGTGATGCCCTCGGTCAACAGTTGCTAAAGCCTTATTTCAATTCCCAAGTCATTTGCTTCAGCAAAAAACGTACAGGCAAATGTTAACTTGATCTTGAAGCGCAGCATAGACTGGGTGCAACACGAGGCATTATTTGACTGCAAATACTGTCCCCATAACCAGACAGAGGCCAAATTTTAACAGGTAACGTAGCCCTTCCTGGTAGTGAATGTTTCGGGCGGAATTGGAAATATATCTAAATTTCTCAATACAGTACTCTAAATTAGTGCGACTTATCTATCTGATGTTATGACAATTATTTGTATATCCAAGAAACTCCCATTATGAATATGGACTATTTTGTACTCTGTCTAGATTGACTCGGATAATTGTCATGCTATTAGTTTCATGTGAAGTATCGAACTGTTGCTAATTGCTTCACTACCTTACAATTCTATTATCTCGGTATACCATTTGTAGTTAAAAGGTTAAAGTGCTTGCGTACACAGACTGTTACGTTTTTAACATAGCAACATCATAGGTCAGCATGCTTGATGACGTAATGATTCTACAATTCATACCTAGGAACGGACAAAGCAAGAGCCAAATGGCTGGTCATCACACTGAGAGGCGTACCACTGAGGAGATAGAGAAAGTCGAAACGTCGGCGTCTGGTGCTTTTCAATACTAGCCTAAGCCTGCTGATTGGGAGTAACGATGATCTATTAGTTGAAAAATACATTCTATTTGGGATATTCACACTGTAAAATCCTTTTTCTTGGCAGTTAATTGTGACAATGCTTTGTTGCTCGCAATATGTAGAGTTAGGCAGCAATAGGCAACGAAATTTGAGGACTATTCGATGTATTCCACACAGTTCGGGGATCCTGTCCACTTTGTTGAAAACATTGCAGTGGATAAGAACAGAAAATATGGTTACGGGGCCTAACAACATCTCAAACATTAAGATATATTCAGGCTTTAATAAAATACAACTTACTGCGTTTGTCTACACAAATGTAGAAAATAACGAAGGAAATTCAAAGGGTGGAGGAATTGAACAGACGCGAATTCCGGTTAATTTTCTGAATCAAGGAGGTGTTCAGTGTGTATAGTTTGATACATGAAGTGCTGTTCTTATTTCTAACTGATGAAAGTAGGTCATATTCTCCATTTTATGCACCAGTTTAACCCAAACAATTTCTAAGTGCTACAAACTTAAGCTAAGGATCAGGGGGTCTCTGCTACATTATACCGTTGAACTTAAATCTTTTTTAGTTGATACGGTGCAAATTACAATGTAGAACTTCTTTGTGTAATGTGAATAGTAGAAAATGATTAATTCTCCAACTTGGTCAGGCGCACTTAGAATATGGAGATGGGTTTGTCTTAAGCTGATTACACTATCTTAACTAAATTTACTGCGCCGTGAAATTCTCTTTGTTAAACCTTCTTTCCTTGCACCAACTACTGTAAATAAAATACCCGTGGAAATGACTCCCGTCCCATTGTATCAGAGTAACATGTCATGTCCCAGAACAGCACATACATGTTTGAACAACTGTGATATGGTGCACTTGAAACAAATATTCTGTAGTTTTAGATAGTCGGTGGAAATTATAATAAGTACCTGTATGAGTCTCATCCATTTCGTCACCGCCTGTTGAACAAGATGCAAAATGAATAGTAATAAAAATCAAAATGATGACATTAATAATAAGTATGTCTCACGATGCATTGTAATCGAAGATGCACTCCAGAAATATGTATATCGACACTGACCCAGTTTACCAAAAGGTTTAGTTGGAGCGAACTCAAACACCTTAAAAACCATCAAGGACAGCCAAACAAGCCATCAACAACACAACTACAACAACCAGAGCAAAACCATCACACAGATTGTCCGTGTCTTTCAGTGAACTTGGGCAGGCAGAGGAAGGTCACGAGGCACAGTTCGAGGTCAATACAAAAGTCACTTTCTGCTCAATCACAAATCGGCGACCAAATCTGCTGATTGCAGTCGACCCAGTAGCGCCCTTAGGAAGTCACTTAATTTGATGATAAAACATACGTAAACTAGTCACAAAAATAGGCGACAAGGTCGAAACAATATTTGATTTTTAAGTTAGAAGCTGTGGCCATAATTTGGCAAAACTCATATGGGTAAAATAAAGATATTATGAGCAGGATTTTGGCAAATATTTTTAGGTTCGTCGCATTTATCCGACAATTCAGACAACCCAATTACCAAGCTGGAAACGCATTTTCTTATTGCTTGTTGAGTTATCCCATTAGTCAGCAGAATGCGACGTTCTAAATATACGTTATTATATTAATTTTTATTTCTGGCAAGGTATCTTTGCCATATTTTTGTGTTTCATGCGATTGTACGAGGCCCGTGCAATTTGAGTATGTACATACTGAGGCCTAATTACTTCCGTTGATTTTTAATTCTTCACCCAACAAACCCTATCTGGGTCTTCAATAAATAGCTTGTCAAGTGATCTTTCCTACGAAGCAAACAACCTTTTGTTCTCCAGTTGGGCATAAGCTCGAGCTTACTGCGAATTTATTACGCAGTCCCACACGTGATTGTGATTAGAAGCCCTTTCCACAAAGAAACCAATGGTTAGAAAGAAGTTACGTCGCAAATTTTTCTACCATGTAATATAACTAGTATAAAGTCTATGTTATGTAGAGCCGGCTTGGAACTGCGATACGATGTTATGTGGGTAGATAGTAGTATCTATTGACATAAATCAAATTATACCGCAGTATTAAATTGTGTTTCAGTCCTCGTAGCTAAAGCGGATCGAGATGGAGTTGTTGGTAACGGTCCCCCCGAGTGTACTTGATAAAATTGTTAAACGATAGATGATTAGTAAATGACCATTGACGGATTTCTGTCGATGTTCTATCAGATTTTCTCACATTTCATAGACTATTTTGCAATACACCCGCATGGAAGACGTGAAAAATTTAAAATGTTCGACTGTGGCTGTGGTTGCATGATACTCCTGAGAAATGTTAGCCACGGATTGTCTGGCTCGTGCTATCATACTCAGCAGAGCAATTAGACTTCCTGGTGAAATCGCACTAGATTCAAGAGTCACCGGCGAACTGGAATCCGCTTGATATGTTAAACGCTCGAAGCAACATCTTACTGTCATTCGTCTAACTTCACCTTAACCTAACACTCGAAGTCACTGCATTCATCCCGATGTGTATACCTATCATTTTGTCGTTGTGAGCTTTGCCACCACCCTACGAAGATCACTTTAAAGTCCTGGATCCTGAGGAGAAATATTTCGTGTTGGATAAGAATACTGAATACTGTATTATAGAAAGTAGAAATGAATTCTGTAAAATACTTTCGAAATATGGTGAAAAGCATTATAATAGTTGTCAACCATGAATATCGTTGTCGTTCGCATGTAACATTTTAAATATCTGACTCACAATATTTCAGGACTCCCAAATGTGATATGTCATCGTAAGTGTGCAATCGTTCTCTGTATCGAATAGTGGTAAAATAAAAATCTAACAACGTTTTGAACTGCTGCACAGATGTTGCCTTCATCACATGTTCAGGTACACTGTTCCAAATGTTTACCGCTCTCCGTTCGATGCATATTGGTTGGGGAATACCTTTCACATCCCGCACGTCAAGTTTGTATCTGTCCCTGCGTGTGCTGCATGGCCCTCGTAAATTCAACATTGGCGTGAGTATTGGGAAGTCACCGAGAGGTAGAATACGATAGGCCATGATGAGGTCGACTCGCATCCGACGGTAGGACAAGGTGTAGAGTCCTAGTTTCTCGCACCGGTCTTCATACCCCAAGCCACGTAAACTGGGGATTAGCATCGCAGCAACGTGTTGTTGATTCTATTAGCAGTATTTGTCAGAAGTCTGCTTATGTTGATTTGCAATCGCCTCAGCAAACTATTGAAAGTAGTGTTCCTGAACGGACTCCACTACAATTCTCCCCTCCTACAGCCAATGTGCCATCCTAGTGTTTCTTCCTCATCCCCGTCCACATTTGCCGCGAATCCCGATAAACCTAGGCCTACACGTTCAGGACGTACATTCGTTTTCCCTTCATAATTTGTGATTTACGAAAGCTAGCACCTATCAAGCGTTCGCCCCTTCGACTCACGCTCTAGGTGGGTAGTTCTGTAACACTTGTGAACCTTATATTTTCTACGGTATTTTCCCGTTTCCTCTTACACTATTTGCGGTACAGTTGTTTTAATTATCTGAACCGATACAATACATCTTCCAATTTTGCTCCGCGTTATCGCTTTGGTACTCTGCCCATGCTTTCCGCGTTATTGTTCGGCGTTGTTTCTCGGTGTTTGATGACTGGAATCATTGCTGACTCGGATTGAGTTCTAGTCAAAGCGTACGGCTACATTCGGACACATAGAATTAACCGAAATTTGATGTATCCATTTGTATAACTGACTAAATCTTTGTTAGCTTTTTCTGTGTGTTCTTTTCCACTACTCTGTCGGCTGCCGGCCGAGTGATCCGCTCGCCTGGCTTGCAATCATAAAGTCACCTGTTTGAGTCCGCGTAGGGGTGAGCGTTCTCGCAGTATAATCGACCCACGCGAGACAGCAAAGCCCCATTACGGCGTACAGCTGAAACATTTTATTATTAGCTGATACTTGATCTTATTAGAAGAGTTGAAGGTGCGAGAATAGCTGATTCTGAGATCACGTGTAGACCATTGTACAGAAATTCGCTAGCTGTTATATGTGGTAGAGCCTTCGGGTATCAAACAACCGCGAAACATGACGGTTAAATTTTGTGCTGAGAACTTCACCATCCACTTGTCGCACCATGCCTCAGGGTAACGGAGATCCTCCAGAATGAATAGTGGTACCTTCTGAAGGTCAGCTAATGGGTTCGTGTAGACGTTTTTATATCTTAAGCAAATAATAACGATGTCATTTTAATAACCAAACTGATGTCTTTGATGTAAAGAAAGAAAAGTAATAAACCGAGCACGCATCCTTGTAAAACCCCGCAGGTAATTAGAGCGGGGAAGAGAGATGGTCACCTGAGGTGACTTTTGAGAGTGACTTTTCAGGTAAGAGGAATGCAAATCGAGTAGCGGTTCTTGGACTCCAAAAGAGGCTATTGTTAACAGTAACCGTTTGGGAGTCAAATAATCCAATGTCTTCTGCATATTCAAGAATAGAATCTGAGATTTCAGTGCAAAATCTCAACCTCTTCGATTTCTAGATCCTATGGTTTCAGTTTCTGTTCAGCCACCTGTATTCATCATAGTAGTGCACAAAAAGATTAATCGAAATGAACATTATTTTACAATTCGAATCTGCTACGCTAAACGCACTGGTGAGTACAATGATTCTCAGAAAGTAAAGTATCCAATAGCAAGATATCTTCGTCAGTCTGATTAATCGCAAACGGCCTGCTAGCGTTGTCTAATATAACTTCAGTTCATTCAATATTTATACATACCTCAACTCTAAGCATCACTCATGTCAGCGAAGCTGGAAGGCTCGCACTGTCAAGAGTATAACCACTGGATTTGATAAGAACAGCCAAGATTAATCAACTAATCAGATTGTTAGTAGTCAGGTACTTTCAACCACGTGCAATTGAGAGTTGTTTTATTTGATCAGCTGTGCCTTTTCGCCACTGGATATTTTCGCTCAAATTTCCCCCGCACAATTTAGTTTCACGTGTGAATATTTAGGAAAAGATTGTGCACGTTCAGATGCTACCCACAAGGGGCAGCTTACCGTTCATTTATAACAACGGAATTGATTCTCATTCGCCTTCATAATTTAGCCCCATTCAACTATGTGAAATGTGTTCGTACACAAACGCTGCTACGGGGCACCATCGCACTGATATATGAGGTGGACACCGCTACCCTTATATGTTAAGATCACTTATCTAGCTCAACCATTCAGAGGCCACGGAACCTGTAGTTACTGATGTCTCGGCTCACTTCCATGAGTACTAGTGAAGTGAGCTAATGGTGGGCAGCTAGTTGAGCTTGCCCGCTAACTCTTGTATCTGACTCTCCTAAGCATAAAGTTTATTTCCGCCCCCGACTGATATTTGACAGCGGAGATTGTACCCCACAGTGAAGATGTGGAAACTGGTCCCCTCTGCGTTGGTAAACAAAAGTTGAGGTACAAAAATGAGCGCCGATTACGCCAAAGGAGCATTCGTCGGAAGCGCCATTCGCGGCGATAAAACTTTGGGGCGCATGTAGCCCATTCCACACTGATAAGGTAACTCACAACCATTGGGGATCAAGCACCATGCAACATGATTAAGCAAGTGTGGAGAGCTCTGCACCAGCGCAGATTATACATGCATCTTTTACGATGCCTAGACTATTTGGGAGATGGCGCTATTTCAGGTACGGTCCCTTAAGTTAACCCACTTAGCCTGGGAAACCGGGAAGATCTCTGCCCACACAACGCAAACATGTTAACACTTCTACCGACTACATACTTTTACTCTTTATTATTTTTAACTATGCATTAGTAAAAACACTAATGTTTGCGCTATAATGGTGCTTCGCTACCGTGCGACCACTACCAGTGACACGCAGGCCGAGTATACCACAAGGACGCCTATCCCAACCGGACCGAACTCGAGCCGCAATATTACGAAAAAAGCTCGCTACTCTTAGGCTACGGGCCGACTAACTATGCATCGTGGCACTGCCAATTGCATGTTGGTCAAGAACTTAACAAGAAAATAATACTAATACTAATAATAGTAGTAATAATAAGGTGTAAATTGATGCACCGATCGGTTGCTATGGCCTCCCAACTTCCAAACTTTTCCGTTAGAGTGCGATATGATGTGTATGGATGCAGCCGTATGTTATCGTTTTCAATGACTAGTCAATGTTGCAGTCTAACGATATTATTTCCGAGCTGGAAGGTCATTTTGAAGTACATGTTGTGTAGTCGGATTGCGACGCGCGATCTCAATGTGGACCGTTGTTTAGATTCAACGGAACCTTGGTCAACTCGGTCACCAGTACCTTATCTGAAGCAGATAGAAATTGTGTTACATTGTTTCCTGGCGGGTAACCAAATTCTTATCTGACATTTAATTCCATTTGAGATTCTGGAGTATAGCGACACTGTTTTTTCTTTGTGGTTACGATCTTAGGTTGACAACGTACAATTAGGGTATTATCGATTCTCTCCGGCCATAATTATAGGAGTGACATCTGCCTGAGGTTAGTTATAGAGGGATAAATCTTACATCAGTGTTTGATGAAAGTACCGCGAAAGAACGCTCATGAACCGAGACCTCCTGGTCATTTTTACTTTCCAGTACGATGTTAGTCGGTACTGTGAGGGAATGAATACACTGCAGACGTGGCGGTGATATTCACACTCATTGGTTTCCTAAACTAAAATGCCTTAACTTAATAGTATCTTCTGTATTTGTGACACTCGTGTATGTTTCACACTAATCTCATCCATTTTCCAAGTGACGAAAACAGCCATATTTATAGACGGCTGCCGTTAACCTTCTTTGGGAAGCTCACGGCTATTTCAATTAATCCACGAGATGAAGCGTCTTTAGTGGCAGTACTCTTGTTAAGCTTCCAAAGTTTACAACAGGATAAACGTATGATTATTCACCTTTTTTCTGCTTGCCTAAAGCTTTGGGTAGCGAGCATACAGTTTGACTGCATAAACAGGAAATGAAATTTAAACACCCTGTCACCTGTTTTTACTAACTCATGTATTCATACCTCATAAACAACAGTCACCTTGATGCAGTGGATTATTACCTGCCACCGCTTTATCCTGTGCTATGTATCTGGTGGGAAACGTTGGTGCAGAATCCATTGCAAACTTATACTCATAATGCTTGCTCCTTTAATCCTATGAGTAAACATCACATAGCCATTTGTAATCGGGATGCTGTTCATCACTTTATCTAACTAATGAAGCTTGTATAAAGAATTTTTATTGAAACTTTCTGATGGAGACTAATATTTAACAACGGATTTGTTGATGTTTTGTAGGTTTAATTGCTCAACAGTGCTTGCGTAGGATTAGTCGCATCGGTTGAGGTACCAGAATTAGAGACAAGCAGTTGTTGCGAAGCAACTGCATGCATACGCTGGAGGGCATACTTCTGTTGTTGCACCTAAAGTGGATCGGATATGTACGCCCTATGGATTATACGGGTTAAAACCAAGCAGCTGCTATGTGACAAATTTAGCGCAGGAAAGAGCAACGCAATAAATCCGAAGCTACATTAATGGGTGCATTTAGAACGATTTAGTCTTGATTTTAAGTGTTGGGAATCGAAAGCACTGCATCAGCATCAACGGTTGAGTTTGTAAAGATGGTGGTTGCCCAGGAACACTTGAATAGATTGTTGGATGTGGAAGAAAAACCCCGGTTTCGGAAGCGAAAGGCGCCAACGGATTGTCATCCATAGACGTCAAGCGCATAATACTCTATCACATGCAGTATCGAGTGCATCAGCCACATGGGTCTGATATGCTAATGGCCTGACTACCAGAGGGCAAGTTCGAAGATGTAAAAAGTAAACTGAATAGGTAACCGTCAGCGCAGCTCATGATAAGTACGCCGCTTCCGACCTCAGTTAGCAACCCCCGATGCTAGTGCGGTTGAGTGGCTCGTGTGCTGTAGTGTCGTAACTGTTGTATTTCTTACATTGCAGATGCTTTTGCTGCTTGTTGTTTTAGTTGTGGCTGCGCTTGATGTGAATAAATATATGGTGCTTGCCAGTCCAATAACCACTGCATCATCACTATGGCTCCAGGGATGATTTGGGCGTTGTTATATAGGCACTAGTTGCCCGGCTCTCGTGGTGGTGTTAGACTCAAAGTATGATCCCTTGGGTGTGGAACGGGCTACGGTTCAGCCACCTCCTTACGTAAGCCTGACACTCGTGATTACCTATAGATGAACGAAAAGGTAGATAAAATGTTTTTGGCACGAGTGTGGTTCGGCTTAGATCGGTGAAGTACGGCTCCTATCCACATTCCTTCCGGTCGTATTCCTTTGGATTTAAATTTGGTATGGGTTGTGTGCATGGAGCTGTGAGTGGTGCATCACAAGCCATTCATTGTCTCTGTGTACGTAGAGACATCCTGTGTCTGTTCTGTGGTAGCTGCAGTGACAAGCATCTCAGAAATCGGATACAGCCAACCACGTCAGCCAGCATTTGTAACCTAGTCAAGTCATTTCGAAGTGCAATTCCAAGCTCGGGTAAAAGAACAAAACTGAACAGTGCTAAGTGGTGTGACAGCTTGAACTTCGAAGCTATTACATCATAGTTAATGTTCCCAATCAAGGTGTTAACCAAACTACTTACTTGCATGTATCTCCTCCAGTTCGTCATCCGCTATTAAATGCAAAGATGGAAACATGCAGTGTTACAATGTATAGGATAAACTGCTTCGTCAAATTTTGAAGCGTATTTCATGAGTTTTGTTTTTAATAGTGATAGTTAAGTGCAATGTGAGATGCGCTTGTATTCGGTGGCCGATACTTGCATAGCCATGTACAAAGGAGCACATCAGTTGTTTAACTCGGCAATAAAATGCATATAGACCGTGATCGTTGGAGACCTTACGACAATAGGAGCAAAACCTCAGGCCGGTTATGCCATTTATTTTGAGGCCTAACGGTCTGAAATCCCTTGAGGATACACTTTTAACCTGTCTCAAGTCATTACATTTAACTGCCACCCAAGATAAGGAACTTCAACATTGGAAGGTGGAGATACTTGCGTGTCGCATTCACATCAGAGGGCATAAATAAGATTTGCCATTTAGTATAACTGCTAGTGAGACTATAGCTAATTTAACAATATGATATGATCTAGTTGCGGTTTATCAACACTTAACATTCGTAAGAGTGCTAGCAATGTTCATGTTGTATCCACGAAGACGAGCATCAATCTGTGTCGTTTCCCGGTCAATCGCTTGTAGTTTACTTGTACAACGCACGCACACACACACACATCGGTAGCGATTATAATTTCGTTACCGTTTGTCCGTCACTGCACCCAGGACGGATAGCTGACGATCACTTTGACTTGAGAAACTGGACATTTCTTAATGATCTTACTTTGCGAGACCAACAGGATCTGGATTGCGTAAGATAGAATTTATGATATACATAGTCAACGGGCAATAACTTGTAGGTGCCCATGACTACGTTGTTCCTGTTGTTGGCACTGTTCGTGATTGAGGTTAGAGGGTCGCAGTGTTCGTTATACATAAAAAGAGACCAACCTCAGCAAATACCTCATATGACAACTGCATTTACAGCAACTAGATTAATATGCTGGCGGTAGAACTGTTTGCTGAGCTTGGCAATTTGTTGCACACATTTCGTCACCAATCGAGGTGACATCATAAGGGCGTAGTTGAGTGGCGTGTAGTAACGTAGAGGAGCGTAGAGGAGCCTCGGTGAGAGGCTCCTCTAAAACAACCTGAGCTACTAGTCTTTAACTTTATAGCTTAATAAGCGTGTATGTACTATGCTCTCCGACCCAGTTACACGATTTTGGGCAACCACAAATAGTGATGGTCCGGATAAACGGTGTGTTCGTTCTCACTTTACCTGCCTTTGAATTAACACTCTAGTTCCTTCGCGTCAAACAGGTGGATGATTGGTATATCTTTTCTATTCAACTGGAGATGATGCCAACTCATGGTTAGACATACAAACGAGTCGTAGTCCGCATAGGCTTCCGACTTGTAGATTTGGTTCCCGTCATAAAGAATTATTCCACGTTACTGGGTTCAACTCGGTACCTAATGAAGGGAGCATTCTGCTGACTTCTTAACGTTACAGATCCTAGTCACTCTCCTACTACATTTACTTGATAGATTCATATGCATACAGAAATGGCCGTAGTTGGTATGACTGCATGCATACAAAGCCTAACCTTCATTCTGCATCTACAAATGAATTAACAATTGCGCATGTTCTATGTATGTCCTTGAGTTGGATTGTATCGTTTTACTGGGATTAAAGTTAGCTAACGCAGCTATGCTTTTAAATTGTAATCTAGTCCCCATAATTTTTTATATAAGCCCGTTTGAATAGGCTGCCGATTTTATTAAACAGGTTTTTCCGCCTGAATTGCAAGTCACCCAAAGCAACGGAGCCAGACCTTATGACCTTCGGAGATAATGACTGATGTAACCACTGGGCATTAGGTCTCCCTTGTCTCACTGGAGTACTGCACCTTAACGGACGTCATATGAACATCGCCATTTGAGTTAGCAACTTGTATTTTGGGCTGTTTTCCTTTATACAGAAAGCTTTGGTCCTAGTCTAAGTCATCCATAGCAAGTAAACCTTATGCATGGTATAAATTTAGCGTCATTGTTGAGCGTCATGGGTAGGTTACTGACCAACTCAGAATAGACCTACGAGTTTAATTTCACAAAATTCAGTAGTATATTAGTGAAGTCATACCAGTGCATTGTTTTGGACACTAGATAATAAGAAGTTTACGATTTCATTGCAATAACTTGACCATATCAACAGCCATTGTGTGTGTTGAATTGTGATTAAGATAGCTTTAAAATCATTTTCCACCTACAGATTTGCTAAATATTGTCGTTTTGATTGAATAGGTTCAGAAAGCCTTAGTGGAGGCAGGGTCAAAATAATTATCAGTGAAATGTGCTTGTTCTCAATTTCACGAATAAGTGTACGGAAATAACCCGGCTTCGAAGTTAGAGCAAGAAGTTTGGCCAGTCGTTTATTGGCGATCGATGTGAAGAACCGCTCATGCGTGTTTTCAGATTTTTGCGCATGGGTATAAATGCGATGGTGTTTATTCTGACTCTAAACTACTACAAAATATCCCCTGGTATTGAGTAGTATTATTTAACTTAAACCGAGTTCGTGTTTACAGTTTCTAACATACGAATGGCTCGGTGGTCATGAGATTTTTATTCTGGCTTTCTGCACCTCTACCTGTTAAAGTGTCAGAGTTGCTTTCATGTAACTGCCACATGTATCATGCCAAAACGTGACTAGCAGCATCGTAAAAAAGACCCACCTGTGCCAAGACGAGACTTACTTGATCGACCTGCCATTTCTAGGTATCAAAGCCCCTGAATTTTTTTCTACTTATCACTGTTACTGTTGGCTGGCATCAGTGAGTCCTAATACCTCAGGTGCATAAGAGAATGCTCAGCAGTGTTGCTCAATTAAATGTGATCAAAAGTTAGTGTTGAATTAGCCACTTGTTCTTACTTTTGTGTGCCGAACATACGTAACTCTAATGATCGAAGACGGCAACCAATTGCCAAGTATCATGATAGGACGTATCCGAGCAATACTCCAGGGATGTTTATCCCTTCGCGCTTCCTAGCTTCGGTGTATGATATTTAAGTAGAACAGAACTGGTCTAATACCCAGCTGACTTCTATCATTAACAACAAGCTGGGTAGCATATTTACTCTGCATAAATTTTTTACGCATAGTTACTTAAGTAATGGGGTCGATTACGGCGTACGGCACGGGAAGCTTCAAAGATGCCGTCTCATGAGTCACCAGCCAGGCTGTGACGTCCCAATGCTTCGTTAACTTAATATTCGATTTTTGCATTTTGGCCTTTTCGTTGGACCATTGAAAACGAATTTTGCCATCTTTAATGGGGGTTTAATCTCGTCTTGTTCTGGCGTGAGTCCACATTGCACCGGCTAGCCAACCTCTGGATTTGCCTAACATCATGTATCATTTCCTGGTCGAAGACGAGACATCCCACCAGTCCAATGCATGTACGATACTGAATAAGCAAAAGGCCATTAACGAGTGGAAATGCGTTACCATAGATGACGACTTAAGTCGATGGGACCCAAAAAGCTATTTAATCGGAATGTAAAACCTGTACCGTAACTAAGTATGCCACATCGGCTGAATGCCAGCAAGATGGTTAAACTCACAAACACTGGCTAAATGTCTGCCCAGGAATACGGTGAAATATTATTAACTTTCCGATTAATAAGGCGCGTACATTGAAAGAACGCAAAAAGCGATTGTTTCATTGCATCTCGGAGGATTACCATCGCTTTCCTTTCCAACGCTTTATTCTTGTTCCTCTTTCACACATCGTTAGCGTCATTGTCCAAAATGATACACACTCACGTTGTTAATTATGGTATCTACCTGTGTTTACAGGACTTGACAAATGAAGTTCACTTGCCGCAGCTGTATCCGAGGAAGAAAGACATCCAGCGAGTTGCACATTTAAAGTTAGTGGCACGAAAGAGGGAGTAACCGGGTATAGTTCAGTTGCCCCGTGTCCGACAGGAGATTACGAATTTCTGGTGAGACCAGCGTCCGATCTTATAAAACCGGGGGTTGACATAAAATTGTAGGCTATTGAAATGAGAAATTTAGTAATGGCGCTAAAGAGTTGGTCGAAGCTAATGTGTGGACGGTCCCAGATACTATCGTCTATTTGGTAGCACGAAAAGCAATAAGCTGATGCACATACCCATAGTTGTTTAAGCTGCATTAGATCGAAAATGAGCCGGAAGATTCCGACACCACTTAAGTGAAATAAAATAGTGTCCTTTTGTGGGTATTGCTTTAAAGGTAACATTTGCTCTATGCTGCAATGCTTGGCCACTGGTCTACTTCTGTAGGTATCACCTCGGAGTATCATGTTACCTGACCAAGTTAAGAACCTGCGTTTTCACCATTCACGATCTCCGTTTTGGAAGCTTCCCAACTAGCAACGCTATCCTTATCACATTTTTGTAGAACCAATCTTCTTGTCATGAAGTGCTTCTACTAGCTTAGTTGGCATTTGAGATCCTTATTCACCGGCATGAATGCTGAGTGCTGAAATTGCCTTCAGAACCCACGTGAAGCTACTGGAGAAAACTTGCATGTTGAGACTATTAGGGGAACCAGCTTCTCCTTTACGAAGCCAAATGGGAATTTTCTCTTGAATAATGTGCGATAGGTGCTTTGTTGTACGACCTAGGTATTGTGCATCACAGCAGCGCCATTGGTGACAAATAAAAGCGATCTAATAAAAGAGCATAGTCCATTCCCTGTAGCTTTTGCTAGTTAAGGCTTGTGGAAGCGTACTGTATGCAGACAAACTTCGAAGTAAGTATTTTTAGTCGCACGTTTTGGACGCTCGGTTTGGGTATCCTCGACAAACTTGTAGTTATATAGCAGCTACAAACAAAGTGCTTCCGTGGGTAGAGTCATGTTTAGTGATTTGCTATTGTTTTCGATCAAGGGTAAATTCAATAATGAATATATCCAGGTACCTATGTGCTCATAATGTGTCCCTGATCCCCTGTTGTACCTCAGTTACGATAAAAATATGCAAATACCGTGCTTTTGAGAAATAAGAGCGGATTAGCTACCATTTGTGTCGCGGTAGTTCCACGCTGTAAACGGTGGCGTACCATCCAGCCCAAGCCTCTCTTCCGATAAGCTTTCCGCTGTACAGAAGCGGCAGTTAGTCTTCATACTCACGTTAGTTAATGTATCGCAGTTGTAGTCAAAGTATTAAAAAGCTGCTGTTTGAATTTCTGATTTTCATAATAAAAATGTTGTCCACGTCACTTATAGATATTTCATCGCTCTTGTATGTATAGTCTAAAGGAGATATTGGCATACTATATACCAAGCATGGTACATGTGAAAGACTTTCGTCGTGGTGAATCTAAACACCCTTCTCTCTTTGACTTTACATAACAACGCTTGTCCATCTACTATAGCTTGCTTCGTCCCCAGTTTTACACACAGCATAGACTCCGGCGGTCAATTCTACTATTTCTTAATAAGCACATGATGGTAACTATTTTTAAGAAGAATAGTGTTAAGTCCTGTCTAGGCTCCACTATGTTCTTAACTTCTAATGACATGTTTACCCATTTGAAGCACCTGGTTAAACATGTAAATGGTTTTACGTTTTCGTTTATGCTGTGTTGTTTCTTTAGTAATACATTGCCAGGAGCTCAGTGGATTTCTGGTGGGGATATCTTTTTTAAATTTTGTTCGTCATCACTACAACATGTAATGAGTTTCTTGTCCTTATGAAGAAATAGAAGCTGAGCTGTACCACAATACGAAAGTACTATTCCACATCCTTTGATAACAACCAACATGATTGGGCTGCATTATACTAGTACAAATAATAGCGCTAGTAATGATATATATTCTCGCTTGTGCCTATGTCTTCGAGTCGGAATGTTGTAACACCCTGCATATAATTATCAAAAAGCGCCCCATGGGGTTATAGGCGAAATAGTACCTCAAGCCTTACACTGGACAGGCGAATGAGATAGCAAGGAGACATTTCTTACCGGTATCTAATAGCCTAAACACAACCAAATTTCATAAACCATATACAGACCATTGTGTTCTTAGTAAATATAGTACGAAGCACGAGGAATAAGCTAATACTTCTTAACTTACCAAATACAGTTCTGGTTTCAATAATTAGCAACAAGGCAAAACAACCCAGGGAAAGGAAGTTTCTCATTCTTTGCAGTCGTAAGGTCAGACGCAAGACCAATTGCTAAGCGGGTTAAATATGTGACGGGTTGCTCTTACTAAAACACACGGGCACGTTGGCGTTGGTTTATTGGTCAAGCAAATTGTGAATGGCCATTGATTAGTTGAACACACATGTTGCGGTGCTAACGTTGCCAGAATTTGGCTTCTAACCACAATGCACCCTGTTCCACCGTCTTCAGCCTCTAGTCGGATGTCTCGCTATGAATGGCTCAGCCGATACATTGGACGGGAATGTAAGAACTGAATCACACTTAGTTTATCCTATTGTGAGATAGTCGTCGGTTTGCCACAGTAATGTAATGTGCGCGAAGCCTTGAACCGGACCTCAGCATGTTACCTTGACGAAGGCCAATTTATAATTGATGCAAAACGCAAGTTCTCCAGCAACTTCGGTAACGGAGACTTTCGGAAACAAAAGCCGCTAAGCATCAACCGTATTTTCAGAATAATGCAGTGACGTCCTTAGGTTCAACCTTCGCGATTTATTGCTTACACTAGCTCAAAGTATCCCCTAGAAAGGCAAACATATTGTGTGTCTCTCATTATGTCGCATTTGGACAGCTCAACAAACTGCCATGGAAAAAGTTCAAACAAGTTGCGTTACAAAACTGCGTTTACGGTACAAATTGTTAGTTCACCACGACTCCGTTATCTTATCTCTCAAACCCCTACACTACAATTATTTTTTAACCATACCCTACAAACCCCCACCCAACATATCTACACTCATTTCATACTAATTTCACTACCCTACAACCTACAAAAAACTACACCTTAACTAACCCCAACTTTCTCCATCACTCATCAACCCCCCTTACCACTTCACATATTTACACCATCCCTACTTTCAATCCAATCACCTACACAACCCACCCACAAACACAACACAGAAACACCACACACACTAACCACTAAAAAACAAACCCCCTCCAATTTGACAACGACATTGGTGTTTCTGGAAAGATGTGTGTGTCTGTGTGTGGTGTTGTGTGTCTACTAGTTCTATCGCACATTAATAGATATATATGATATCGTACGTATACTTTATCTCTTTAAATTATTATGTCTGCGTCTTCATCTCGTTAAGCGCTGACCTAAAACTTTTTATTCTATGACTTTTATTTGAGGTAAGTAGAAGATGATCAGAAGAGAGATCGACGCAGACGCACTACATATCCTGTCCCAACCTTTATTAATAACTATTCTTGTTGATATATATATATATAGATTAGATAAAGTGTGTTCTTATAATTAATTAAAACCTAAAATATAAAATAATTACTTGTTTTACCACCATAATTACTATGCAACTGATGCCTCACAGTACTTCATCTCGTATATCTTACCACACACATTAAACCAAAAATAAAACCATTATTTCACCCTAACAAATCACCATACTCATTATTGTCTAGGCATTACTTTTCTAGCTGGTCATACCGCGTCTCATGTTGGTTAACCCGCTCGCTGTCGGTGTCGCTTGGTGGTTGGTGATCTGCATAGCTCGCTGTCGGGTGTTTGGGTATGTTTATTGGTATAGTCTATGTGAGAGCGAGTATGAGCAAATCCCCTACTTCCCACAAACACCCCCAACCAAATAATCACCTTTTCATTACTTCTGTGCCTGATTAATAAAAATGTGCGGTAGATGGTTAAATTGAAATTCTCACTTTAGCCTTCATTATGATTTTTCTGCATCCTATTCCTGACGCCCCCCGCACCCCGTATGATAATGTGTGTGTGTGGTGTCTTACTGTTTCGGAGGTAGAGGGGAGTGAGCGTCCACAGTATGAGGAGAGTGGTGGGTGATGGCGTGGGATGTGTGCGAGGACGAGTCCTTAGTGTGCACCCTCCCCTCTCCACCTGCCTCGCCCCGCGCCAACCACCTCCCCCGGTCGCCGGCATCCGTGCTGCACAACCCACCGTTCCACCCAAAACAAACACCCCATTTATAGGGTTGTGTGTGTGAGTAGAGTGAGAGCGTAGTGTGGGGGTGTGGCGTGAGGGGGTGTGAGAGAGAGAGAGAGAGAGATAGATATGATAGTGTAGTTGTTACGTATACGCCGGAGTGGCAGGTGGGGGGGGTTGAGGCGCGGGCGCGCGCGGAGTCTAGAACCTCAGAGTGAGATGACTCGCACTCGTATGACGGAAAGCATTCCTGCCTAATTGGGAAATCATGCACACCAGACGTACACAGGGCGTTGGTTGTACCGTAGCCCGTTCCACACAAGATGAAACCACACTTTGAGCATGTCAACGTCACGGGGACGGTGCACTCCGTCCCCTCGAGCGATGACCAACTGTCTCCTGGAGCCAGTATGGACGGGGTAGTGGGTAATAAAGAGGTAGGCACCTTGTCAATATTCACATCTAGCACATCCACACCGGGGAGCTCAAACAACATCTACTTCTGAAGTGCAAGTTTAACCAGTACGCAAACAAACGTACCATATACGCCGCCTTATTGACCTGGATTAGTAAATCGAATGGGAGCGTACTCATGATACATCTATGCCAACTGCAATAGTGCCTTCTACTGCACCTGAGCAACCACCCTTTATAGTAGTCCACGGAATTCGCATTGATCAAAATTTGCCTTGGATTCGCAACACCTGAAATCAACATGAGTTTGTCATAAACTCACCGTCTTCATGTTCTGGTAGTGTCATTTCCAGTTTGCTCGAGCGCCGTTTCCCTGCACTAAGTTAGCCGTACAAATGCGGTATGAGTACCCTCGTCGAATTCATTCGGTATACATTTATACATAGATTGGCGTAATCCGTGTCCAATGGCAGTTCGAATACAACATATGCACATGCATTTATCCAAATTTCCGTGTGAGCAGCTGCCACAAGCTGGAGAGAGACACATTAGATATCATGATCAATGGTACGACAAACGTGTATGGGTTTCGTTTATAAGTCAGGCTAACATCCACTTTCGCAGGCATGAGAATAACTGCCAAATAGGGACTGTTGATGTTTTCTTCAACATTTATACTTGACAGTCTTAAATGTTGGGTATGCATATTTGAAGGAACCCGATGTAGCAATAGTGAAGCAACTGCTAGGTAGAACGATGACCAAACTACTGGTATAGTGAAACAGTGTGCACTTAGGTGTTGCCCTCTACATGTACAGCCTGATTTGAGTAGCTGATGGGGGCGATCACACAGCATGCGAATGCGATGCAATGTCCACTTCTGGCTCTCTGTGTCTCCGACCGGTTCGGTTATGTGTTGCCCGAGGTATATGCACCTACTCAAAGAACGATTGATGCGCAACCTTTGGTATTGACAGGTGACATAAAATAAGCCGTTGCTCACTGTTAAACATGTGACTTTCCAAACAGTGTTCGCATTTATTGTGCAAATGTCCAAGTACCCAACCGTTTATACTTACCGACCTGTACTCTGCTGTGGCCAGAAGCTATTTGTTAACGATCTAAATCGGGTGCAGCCATTCGGTGCTCATAAAACTATTGTCGCAACGCGCCGATTTATTTCCGATGTAATAAACTAACACACTGACATACCATTTCCCTTAGGTTCATCCATTTACTTAATCCATCCAAAAGATTGGCCACGTGCGAGGCAACTTCTGCTAGGCGTCTCTCTGCACGTCTGCCTTCCATCCGGTTAGTACGTGTGTTTTCATAAGCCCCGGTAAATTCAGTATAGCTGAAGGACAACTGGAACTATAACTATACTCACTCACACCACTAGCCTGCGGGGTGGCACATGAAATGGCGACATCGTGATAATCGCTAGTTGGTTAATTGCCGGGATTGTTCAATTGACACAGAATTTCCAGGGCAACCTCTCTTCGAATGCAAAATCCAAAGTGGTCACACGAGGGACGATCGTTGAGCATTGTGTTCCAAATGTTAAACGACACTTTGCGTACTGTAAGCGGCCAAGCGACGATAAGTTTTTGATTCAAACGTATCCGTCGAACTGCAAACACACAATAATTTGCGATCCTAGCATTGATCCGTATCAAACACACAAATCGCTCCGAGACACTGCGCGCACGTCAACTACGAATGAGCTCATGGATGGACTGAACCATTATTCTGCGATGCACCGGCTCTCCAAGCGTCGCGGTACTTAGCATTGAGCTACAGTTATAGTGAGTAATACCATGGAGCATACAAAGTAATGTGAGTCGCGGCCGAATAATAATACGAAGAAGAAGATGCCGTAGCTCACTGTCTCGGTATGTAACCATACAAGACTCTGTTTGATATGGTAGCAAGAATAGCATAACATAGGTCATGATGAGTACAATATCGTACTGGGTAACATGTGAAGTCATCGCGAAATACAACCGAGTTAACTAAGCCTAAAATAGTTAGATTACCTGTGACTCATCCGTTCTAGGCAGGTGCACTAAAGATACCACATTGTTCCAAGTCAGTAGTTAATCATTCTAGAAGGAAACTGTACCCAAGCGTGACTCACATGTGGGATATAGAACATGGATGACACAAAGAAAATGACGTAGATGGAGTAAACAACTTTTCATTTTAGTAGGGAATAGTGCGATTATGTCCGCTGCATGCTATCCGTGTCATAAGGTAAAACCAGAGCCCTTTATAATCGTCTCATTCCCGAGGTGAGCGAGAATCAACAGGGATATAGGTCCACCAGACAGTCCGTCATGTGTTACTATTTATTTCCCCCTGGTCATTCCTTCTGACCGCTAGCATATCTCGACCATTTCACCAGTGTCTATTATGCTACCTATACCCAAGCGTTTCGATATGGATGTCATAACGTGTTGCCGCTGTTTCGGAATCAAGCTTGATGACTCGTCTGAATCTCAGTGCGTTTACCTGAAGGCGGCAGCAGTACAAGGGAGCGTACAGAGACACTTGAGATGGGATACATTGACCTCATACTGCAATCCGCAATAAGTCACGATGTCACACGAAAAGAAATGTAATAAGATTCATCTGTCAAGT